ATCAGATGCAACCAGTGACCTAAGTACTTGAGTACCTTACCTTACCTTGAGGTACCTTACCTTCCCTAAGGTATGCAGCAGCGGTAGGTCACCTCATTGGGATGAATGGAAGACGTGGGATGGCAACCTTCCTTCCTTATCAGCCCCGAGGTGAGGTGGGTGGGATCGGAGCTTGGGATGGCCCAATTGGCGAATGAGGGGGCGTCCTTCTGGCACGCAGCTCTGCTCCATAGCAGGTGCGGGGCCGCCAAGGACATCTAGTGGGGCCGTGCCGCCGTTGACCCCTCACTCTTGCCCTCTCTTACAACCTTCAGTACACACTCACAGTACGGAGTACCTAAGGTAGGGTAATAGTCCTGGGAAGCAAACAAACTTGAGGAGGCTAGTATTCCTCCATACTGTAGATGGTATCTACACGGACGGACGACTCTACAGTACTACTGCGCAATATCTTCAATTCTTTCTAGGGACATGATCCTTCCGTTGACACGTGCTGATACCCAGCGCATTCTGCGGCCAACTGTGTAACCCCCCCCCCCCCCATTCATCTTATTCCACGCTGCGAATGCTGTGGGTGGTGCTGACCTTGCCCCTGTCTTTCAAGGACCTACTCCATATACGGGACGGAAACATACACATGCGCTACTAAATCATCACAGGGAAGACATCAGACGGCTATACCGAATGCAAGCATGTGGCCCGGCATATTGCCAGGGCCTATCCAATCTGCAGCCTTTCACGAACTGCTCAGCATCACGTTGAGAGACTAGCAATGCGTCGGTCATCGTAAACCACGTATTCTACCCCGGGGGCCCTCATCAGAGCTATCCGTCATTGCAGCTGCTGGTTGTCTTGGCAGAACAACCACCACGCTCTTCAGGCTCCTGGAGACCGACCTACATAAGACGGGGTCACCTCGACTCGCGTCCGCTCAAGCGACCGGCCGCTTCCATCTTTCTCCGTCTCTCTCATCTCCAGCTCCCGCTCCAGCTTTCGCAGTCCTTTCTCCCTCGGCGTTGCTCCCGGCGAGTTCTCTGTTGATCGCTGTGTCCCTTCGTTGCGCGAGACATCGACAAATCATCATCGACCACCAGTCAAGATGCATTTCAACTCCATCGTCGTCTCGGGCCTCGTGGCTGTCGCTTCCCGCCAAGTCAATGCTGTCCCTTGTCCCAAGCCAGCTCCTGTCTACAAGCCCATCACCAGCATTCAATTGGGACCGAGACCCTACTGGCTGGTCAACGACATGGACGAGGGCCCTCTTAAGGAAAAACTGCAGTCGTGTTCAGAGCAGCCCATCAAGCCCTCCAGCTGGAGCATTGGGCACCGTGGCGGCGGTACTCTGATGATCCCTGAAGAGTCAGTCGAATCAAACCTTGCCGGTGCGCGTATGGGTGCTGGCGTTCTCGAGTGCGATGTTGCCTTCACCAAGGACCGTCAACTAGTCTGCCGTCACTCCCAGTGCGATCTTCACACGACGACCAACATCGTTACCATACCCGAACTCAACGCCAAGTGCACTATTCCCTTCACCCCCGCCGGCAACGGTACGGCCGCGACCGCCAAGTGTTGCACCTCGGACATCACCGTCGCCGAGTTCAAGACTCTCTGCAGCAAGATGGATGGCTTCAATGCCTCGGCCGTCAACCCCAAAGACTTCTTGCTTGGTACCCCGAGATACCGCACCGACCTATACTCTACCTGCGGCACCGTTATGACCCATAAGGAACACATCGCCATGACCAACGACCTAGGTCTTCAATTCACTCCCGAGCTCAAGGTTCCCGAGGTTAAGATGCCTTTCGAGGGAGACTACACGCAAGAACAGTACGCGCAACAGCTGATTGATGAGTACAAGGAAGCCGGCATTGCCCCTGAGCGGGTCTGGCCTCAGTCGTTCTTCTACCCTGATATCCTGTACTGGCTCAAGGCCGAGCCCGAGTTCGGCAAGCAGGGCGTTCTCTTGGACGAGAGTGGAGATACCCCTGAGACCTACCCGGGAGCCGTTGCCAACCTGACCCAGTTTGCTGCTGCTGGTGTCAAGATCATGGCCCCTCCTTTGTACTACCTCGTCACCGTCGAAGATGGCAAGATTGTGCCCAGTTCGTATGCGATCAGGGCCAAGGAGCTGGGTCTCAAGATCATCTCATGGTCTTTGGAGCGTTCTGGCTTCCTCGGAGACGACACCAAGGGCGGTTACTACTACACTTCCATCGCCAACGTCACGAACAATGACGGCGATGTCTATAACCTGCTCCACGTGCTTGCCCAAGATGTTGGTGTCTTGAGCATCTTTTCGGACTGGAGTGCCACTGTCACCTATTACGCCAATTGTTTTGGCCTGTTCTAGGTACCTATAAGCTCTGAAATGAGGAGATATCATAGAATAGGCAAACTCGGTCCCAAACTAATACCATTTTTCACGACAATGATCAACATTAAGGAAGAACATCCGTAGAAGCACCAGTACCAGCTTAGAAGCAGAGAAATCGGTTATGAAATCGGTCGTGATTTCCCCCAAAAATAATCATGCTATCTTCTTTAACGAACAATCCCAATGGACATTGCAATATTAGGATTGTGTGCTTTACCAGTGAAAGACGAGAGCCGCCCACAGCCTCCCGCGGTGTGCTCAGTAGAGAAGATCGTTGACCAATCGACTTACAAGAGTTTCCAAGTCAAAGTGGGTATCGCTTAATCAACATATCTACACCGAGCTCACCGACAAGGTGAACCTGGGCCTGACCTTGATTTTTAGTACCCCGCCATTAGCGTGACCCCGCCATCGACTGATTCCTCTTCCTCAACCCGTTTACCAGAAAGAAAAAGTTTTTTCTTGGTCTTCGCAAACAGCTGGCGGCCATGACAGAACTATCAGCGGCGCCCGTCCTCTCGACGCCCGCCGAACACACCTTTGAAGACCCGACACCGACGCCCCCACCTCCACCGACCGCCGAGCGCACCCAAGTTGAGCTCGCTTCCGTTTACGAGATTGAGCGTACGGCGCGCGAAATCAAGGAGGGCGGCTGGAACCGCGTCGCCCTCCAGTTCCCTGACGCCATGCTACGTGACGCCTCATGGGTCGCAGAGGCGCTAACGGAAGCTCTGGGCGGCAGCGAAACCTATCGCGTGTACATCCTTGCCGACACGTCCTACAGCGCCTGCTGCGTCGACGAGATCGCGGCCGAGCACGCCGACGCCCAGATTGTCGTACACTATGGCCGCTCATGCCTATCACCGACGTCGAGGCTGCCCGTCATTTACGTCTTTACGCGGCACACCCTCGACATCGACCAAGCAGTCGAGGCCTTTTCTAAAGAATTCCACGACAAGCAGCACAAGGTGGTTGTGGTGGCCGACGTCACATATCAGGACCATGTCGCTCCCCTCACGACGAAATTGCGCTCCGCGGGATACACAGCGTTGCTGCAGACCGAAGTGACACATGACCCGACCGGCACGATCCCAAACCGTAAGATCGTCGACTCTTCCTCATCGGACGCCCCCCCAACTACCGACCTGTCCGAGCACTCTCTCTTCCACATCTCGACACCGCCCCCAGCGCTCCTCCTCGCGCTCCAGACCCGCATGGCCTCTCTCCATGTTCTCTCGACGCCGAGCCTGTCGACCGACGATCCAACACGAACAACAAATGCCCTCCTCCGTCGGCGCTTCGCCCGCGTGCTAACCCTGGCCACGGCCGGTGTAGTGGGCATCCTCGTCAACACGCTCTCCGTGTCCAACTACCTCGGAAGCATCGACCTCCTGCGCCGGCGTATCGCCGAAGCTGGGAAAAAGAGCTACACGGTTGTGGTGGGCAAGCTGAATGCCGCGAAGCTGGCCAACTTTGCCGAGGTCGACGGCTGGGTCGTCGTAGGGTGTTGGGAGAGCGGCCTGGTGGAAGAGGACGCCGGGTTCTTCAAGCCCGTCATCACACCCTTTGAGATGGAGGTGGCGCTGAAGCCTGAGAGCGAGCGCGTATGGGGCCTCGAGTGGTGGGGTGGTATCGAGAAGATGGACCACGACGCGGTCAGGCAGGAGGAGGAGCTGGACGAGGACGAGTCGGCGCCCCCGGAATACGACTTGCGCACCGGCAAGCTGGTGGCCAGTCGGCCGATGAGAATGCCGATACGGTCGGCCAACAGCGAATCTAAGACCGGCGGCGATAACGGGGAGGAAAGCAGCAGCAGCAGTAGCAAAAAGCCTGGTGAGTCGGCTTTGGTGAAACGAGACATGGGCGAGGTGGCCACCATCAACGGCGTGCTAAGCCCCGGTGCCGAGTACTTGCGTTCGCAACGGACGTGGCAGGGTCTCGGAACGGACTACGACGAGGAGAGCAGCACCGTCGTCGAGGAGGGCCGGAGCGGTGTTGCGCGGGGTTATACGGTTGGCGAGGACGCTGGCAGGGCATGAACAACAGTGACGACTGACGGGTTATATTGAATCGGCGCAAAGCAGGGTACCAAAAACACACATACACATAGACTACTAGTGAGAACCTCAAGATACCAATTTTTCCTTCGTGATTTGACATGTCATTGCTGCCGTGTTCTGAAAGTGCGATTTGGCCTGCACACCCACCGCAGATTACCTCACGGCCAGTCGTTCGGCCAAGCCAAGCAGTCGTTCTGAATGTGGTAAGGATGAGGAGAAAGTACAAGACAATCACCAAGCCGGATACAGGCAAACGATAATGGCCTGTGCAAAGGCAAAGCACGGCAGAAAAAAGATGTCGTGAATTAATGCCGTTAGATTCGTCATCATAAACGAGTATGTCGTCCACTACATGCGCCGGGTCGCTGGAATTACATGAACCATCCCTGAGCATCGGTCATATGCTCTCCACATCCTATCGTATCATGTCATGGTATCTTATCTTGTCTTCTTGTTTTTCTCGTTCTTGTACAAGTCGTCAAATCCCTCCCTACCCCTCCCCCCCCCCCCCCCCCAAAAAAAAAAGAAACGCATTGCAATTATCGACAATCTCGGCTGAAGAGATCTTAAACGTAGACGCGACGGTGAGAGTGGGAGCTGCGACGGCTGTGAGAGCGGTGGCTGTGGGAGCGGTGACGGCGGTGACGGCCGTGGTGGTAGGACTTGCGCTCGTAGCTGGAGGACAGGCGGTCACCGTGCATCCAGGCGAGAACGGCGGTGAAGAAGAAGAGGATGGTGTTGATGATGCCAAAGACCCAAGATGCCTTGAGCATGGCACAGGGCTTATCGGTGAAGAGGTTGAAGCGGGGCCCAGAGATGGTGACGAGGCCGGGGAAGTTTGCAGACCAGCGGCCGTCGCGTGCGAGGTTTGTGCAGTCGACATAGTTGATGCCGCGAAGGTACCAGACGGCGGCAATGAAGGCACCAACGAAACCAAGGTCGATGACTGCGACGAAGAGTGCATTTGTGCTGCTGCGGTGATAGCTGAAGAGGGTGAAGATAGCCCAGGCGAGGGCGAGGACGGAGACGATGAAGAGGACAAGGATAGAGTCGGGGACGATAACGTTGCGCTTTACGAAGCCATCGACGAACCAGGCGAGCATGCCCATGGTTGGGATCTGTGACATTGTGTTAGTTGAAACAAAACTTGAAATTTTCTTTACAAAAAAATAAAGAATAAGAAAATTGAGTAGTCGAGGTAACGTATCGACGAGGGAGAAAACGTACCAAGGTGACGATTTGGAGGAATCGCGTCGCCGCGAACATGACGGCGAACAACATGGCGGGCGGTTGGGAGCCCAAACGGCCAGGCAAGAAGCTACCGGTTGCTGTGTGGAAAAGATGCGACAAGCTGCGACAAGATGCGCCGGCGGTAGCGGTGGTGTTATTATTGTTATTGCGCTTGCGACAGGCGACTACGGATTCAAAGAGTCTTGAGATCGACAAAGACAAAGGCTATCGATGAAGGGGAGCTGCCAAGGTAGGTAGAGCAGGTAAGTGAGAAAGCAAAAAATCAAAGTCCCGCGAGCTCGGGGGGAGGGGGGTTTCTGTCGCTCGTGTTTTGTTTTTAATAGAGCCCTTTCAGATGAACGGGCGGGTGGTTGGGATGGGGTGGGAAGGGTGATTAAATAAACAAGGCGTGACTTGCGTGTGTGAGCCAGAAACAGAGCCAATGCAGGTCGGGTTTGGGTTTGGGTCAGCAAGTCTTGCAAGTTGCAAGTTGGGACAAGCCCATCCGGGGTGGGCAGCAATAGCAAAATTAGACCGGGGGGTGGGCGAGGGAGTATGCGCGTGGGTGTAGGTGTGTGTGCGTAGATAGAGAGAGAGAGAGAGAGAGGAGAAATAAAAAAGCAAGGTAAGTCGCAATGCGCAAGGCCAGGTTTATTTCGTCGTGGTGGTAAACAGGTGCAATTTGTTGGTGTGTGGTACTCGAATGGGGGAGGTTGGGCTGGATCGCGGGTTGCCAGTCAAGGATTGCATGGGCCAAGGATGATGGAGATGTCAAGGTGTAGTGCAAGGTGAAAGGAGAATGGTCGAGCATTTCATTCATGGATGGTGAGGCAGCAAAAAGGTAAGGTAAGGAAGGCCAATGTAACATCCAAGTTGCCGGATACCCTGCCCGTTTCCCGCCTTTTTGTCATTTCCTGTTGTATCTACCATATTTTGCTCTCACTCTCACTCTTACTCTCACTAACACTAACACTCTCACTCTGACTCTGACTCTTGTCTGTAAATTTCAATCTCGCACTCGTGTGGATTGGATCAACCATGAGGTGGAGAGGCAGGTGTGTGATGGGACGGAATAGGTAGGAACGGGGATGAAGGCCTCACAATCTCATAAAGTGACAGATTCACATGGGTCCGGGAATCACTATGGTGGAAGAAAGAGGGTTCCGGCTGCGCAGCTCGGTGCAGCGGTTCGCGCTCTCTCTCGCACCTTGGATATGCATATAGACAGGCAGACATAGCTTGTTGGGTATGGCTATTGTTGCACGGCCTTGCTTGATGGCTGTCTCCAAGGGCCAGGGACGAGCAAACGGCCGTCAAACAATGACACGGACTGCAGACAAGCATGTCGCAGAGCGGGAGCCTGAGCACCCTTGATTTCTCTCTCGAGTGTCCGCCCCGTACTATGTAATGTACTCTGTACTCTGCGCCCGGTAAGAATGACCAAGGATGTCTGACTTCAATTGGTGAGGTAAGATCTAGCCCGAAAACTCGGTAGAGGGTAAAGGGCAAGTAATGTGAGGACTGTGAGGTAAGAGAGAGGTGTTTGCTGATGAAGCCTGGGTGAAGTGAGCTGTGGTGAGGTGAGGTGCGTCACCAGCAATGACGTCGGCGATCGGCCTCCTCTCTGTCCCCTTTTGGCCGAGGCCTGAGGTGCCATCTGCGGCCTGCCCAGTTCCTTCCCTTGCACTTTCCTTCCACCCTGCACTTGCTTCCATAGGTACCTTACTGTGTACACATCTACCTACTGCGAGGTAAGGTACTCTGTCGTGTCTGTCCACCAAGTATCATGGCACCTTACCTGCACTGCAAGGTACCTACTCTGCAAGGTACCTCACAAAAACACCATGTTTCTTCGCGACTCTCTCGCCGGCATCTATACGCATACATGGCCGTCATCTTACAGATTAGGCTGTCCAGTCTCTCCAATCGAAGGTGCTGCAGAATGGAGAAGAAAACAACCGGGCGATGCGCTCATTTTTGATGGCTGATTTCTTGCCCTGTCAATTCTGCCCATCGCATTGTCTATCCACACCATTACTGCTGGCCGGACTCGCTCATTCGATCCGGGAACAGAAGCCGTTGAGGTATCTCAGTCGAGGTAACACAACTTGGTACGGCCACACACATCTTCCGAGACCTTGGTTTTCCGGCCAGCAAAAAGCCATAGACTCATGGTCCAGACACTCGCAGCCTCAGGGTCAGACAGGCAGACCCCAAGTCCCCAACCGTCCAACGGCAAACAACTCATCCAACGTGGAGTTTTGCAATCATCTCGGCCAATCCTGTGTCTTTTCAAGACCCCCGGCACTGTTGCACGAGGAACCACTCCAACCTAAAATCGGCGGGGCTGGTCATCATCATCCACCATGACCGCCGGGGGAAAGAAAAATAAAATAAAAGAGTGGAGATGATGAGGTGGCTGGGGCCTGGGGTCTGGGGCTGGGCTTGCGCTGGGCCGCTGGCCTCGACCCATCCCTCCCACTCACAATCCCATCGCGACATCGTCTCTCCCTCCTCGCGCCTTCATACCAACTATGTAGACCCGTAGTGTACCTTACGGAGTGCATCCGTACGTGCGTGCACAGAGTATGGTTCCTTTCACGCTTGCACTCCGCATCGCCGGCGACGGCTTCAAACATCACGGCAGCAACACGGCCCTGATTCGGCCCAAGTGGAGTCTCAAGACTACGAGAATGGGACAATGGTAACGAGAAGCTACTGGGTGGGTACACCACGTCACCGCCGCCGTCGATTCTGACGACCAACAAATGTCTCTGAATTGCGCCTTTTCCTGTGCCACGATCCTCGTGATCCTAATCATCCCTATTCTGGCCTCCAACCCAAGTAGAAGGGGGCCATTTAGCTAAGGATCCTTGACCCAATTAACCAGTCTGGGCCAAACCATCTTGACGAGCGTCCAGACAAGCTACAGTCTATCCAATATCACACCTCACTCACACCTCCCTTTCTAATGCTATCACATGCATCTATTCCAAGGTAGGTCAGACTGGTGACAATCAGGTAGTGATTCGTATCTCATTCGACCAAAAAACAGTACGAGCAAATTGGCGGGTATCACTCAATCAACACAAGCAAGGTACTAACTAAACTATCCCATCTCCAACTTTTATGTCCACCTCCAAGTAAAAAGAGAAAACTCAAAGCCAGCCCAAGATATCTACAGCTGGCCGCCTGGCATCAGCTCAGGAATATATACAAAAATTATTTCGTCCCATCACGCCAGCTCCATCTCCAAAATGGCTTGGCTGCCCTAGCCTCGTCCACCTCATGGCTCATGATCATCAATCACATCCAAATCAAAGTCCCGAATTCGTGGCGCCATGCTGTCCGTCTCTGACCCCTCGCGCTTCACTCGTCCATGATTATACCCACCCCGCGCGCTCTTCCTATCCAACGTGTCGTCGAATGCAAGGAAGCCTCCTGATCCCGTGATGTTGCTTGGCAAGGGGAGCGACTGCTGCTCGTGCTGCGAGGCGCTGCTGGATCGCGCATAATTGCCGTGGGAGCCGTTATTATCCAAGAAGGCGCTCAAGTCACGCCTTCGAATGGGCAGTTCCATTGCCTCTCCTCGCTCTACGCCGCCGGCGCCGGTGCCGCCAAACGTGGCGGCACTGCGCATGCTTCCCGGTCCGCCGCCCAGGCCCTTGACATTATCTCGCGACTGCGCTCTCTTCATGTTGGTACCAGGTCGACTGGATGCTGGTGTACGGATGCTGCTGGCTGTGTCGCTTTCGCTAACGACGCTGTACGCCGAGCTGAAATGAGGCGCCGAACCCGTCGAGTGGATGGATCGGGTCCCGGTCGTCTGATACCCAGACCCTCGCGATGTCGTCGAAGCCGGGGCGCGCGGGTACGCAAATGGGCGGGCGAGGTTTTGCACTGGACTGGTATTGCCCGATCCGCCCGAACTCTCAGCGCCGCCGTTGTTCGGCGTGTTCCAGCTGAGCTGTACTATCCAACAGTGAGATAGCTCGTGCGAGGCTTCGTCTGTCGTGCTGGAGCCCTTCCACGGAGGGACTCTTGTGCCCCTGAGGCGCGGAGACAGATGATACGGCACTCCGTCGCGGTATCGCACGTTGGGGGCGTCCACCGACACACTCGCCAGCGTCTGTAGAATGCCGTAGATCAGAACCCAACGTCCCCGTCGGGCTACGGCCGGATCGACCTCAGTGACACTGTCGCTCTTTTCGAATTTCACAAAGGCGTCAATTAGGTCCGATTGTGTAAAGTCAGAACCAAGGATATAAATGTTAGTGGCCTCGGTGTATGCCAACTGAACTCGTCGTTCCAGGGCACCCGCTCGGCCACCGTTGTTGGCACCTGCGCCAGTCTTCTTCTTGAACATGGAGCTCTCCTTTGACGGCGCTGGCGGAATGGATTCGGGTACCATGGGGTATGGATGAGGGATATGTGGAAACCGCATCTTATTGTCGAACTCGACGAGGATGTCTGTGATGGGAATGTCGATGTCGGCGTCAAATCCCTTGTCCTTTTCGCTCTGCATCATCCATTTGCGCCCTGATCGCGCCTCGGACATGTCCCAGACAATGTCGCGGTTGACGAGGTAGTCATACAGCGCCCCAAAGTCCTTTTGCAATGATTGTGCCACGCTCCTTGTAAGCCACATGTCCTCGCCGTCGGAGTCTGGGAGACCAGTTGTCTGAGCCGGCGGCCACGCTCCTTGTGAGTGAAGGTAGTGGTTCAAGAAGAACTTTTGTAAACGGTCTGCAGCCGCCTTTGCCTGACCACCAACACCTGCCGGCCACAGGTCGCCATACTGGAACTCCACGAGTCTTTCTTCGGCCGCCTGGACGCGGAGCTGCGTCTCGAGACATGCCCGCTCCAGGAGCGCGCGGGTGATGGGCGTGAGGTCTTTGAAGTCGGCGCATGTCTCCAGCTGGCTGTACATGCCGGCGCAGTGTAGAAAACTCTCCCGCCAGCCCTCCTCCCATCGCACAGCTGACCCTTCAGACCACGCCAGCAAGCTGACAGCCGTTTCCGGGTCGTTGCGCACGTCATCTATTCCCCGGGCTGACAGATAGTTCAAGATCATGCCGACGTTGTCCGCGTCCGGTGGCATATAGGCATCCAATCGCATGTGCAGGTCGGAGAGAGCCTGGTGAAGCGTCAACCCGACCAGAGATGCGTGATAGAGCAAGGCAAAGACGTTTCTTGTTGTAATATGGCTTCTGAGTTGTTCTGTCTTGGTCATGTTTGCAGGAGTCGGGAAGTACATTTCGTATGAAATTTGCCCATCAGCTTCGCCGAGATCCTCCGAGATGGGCGGTGTCGGTTGCCCACCGCGCATGTGTGGCCGAAGCATGGGTGGCGCACCCTGTGGAGATGGGGGCATGTAGATGTCCTCCTCGGTTGTGCCCTCCCGAAGCAACGTGATGAGATACCTCGATTCGGTCGCTTCGATTATGTGTGAGGATAGTCTGAAGGATGGGTTCGGCCGTGGGGCTTGGCCCTTGTGCCCGAAGAAGACGAGAACATCACCATTCGGATCCCACAGTTCGGGGTCTTTGCGTAGCTTATTCCACCTTTGAACAGGTCTTCCAGCGCCGATCCATCGCTTGATGGGCGGCGTGGTCGGCACAGGAGGCAGCTTCGATGCCGGGGGTGGTGATGTAGGCAGATCCATATCCTGATGTCGCATTTGTTGATTCATGTGCTGCATGTGGTGCATGTGGTGTTGGTGCTGCTGCTGCTGCTGCTGCTGTTGCTGTTGCATGTGCATCTGCCGCTGTATGTGCATCTGCTGCATCGTATCCATGTTGAACTGTTCATAGGTGTAGTCGAGCTCCGTGGGAGACATTGGGGCGGGATTCTGATGTTGACCCGGGCGTACAGTAGCGACGGATTCAGGACGGAAGTCGAGTTCCTTGTCTTTGCGCTTGAAGGTGAAAGTCTTGGCCAGGCCTCTCCGTACATCCTCGCTCTTCTTGTCCAGCCTGCTTCGCAAACCCGACTTCTCAATGCCCGAGACGTCTTCCGTCTTGATGGTAGGTCTCCGGGCGCGGGCATAGGCGAAGTCGTCTAGGGGGCCGGAGCTCCCGTCACGACGGCCGCCCTCACTGCTTCCACTGCCACTGCCTATGCTGGGTGTGCCTGGCTTGATGTCGCGTGGAGGCTCTGAGAACTTGAGGAAGCGTGCATTTGTAGTGCCGATGCCGGTGCCAACGGGTAAAGATGCGCCGGTCTGGGGAAGCGGAAACTCGGGGATGGTGAGGTCTTCATATTCTCCTATTATGCCGCCGGTATTTGATCTTGCCCTCGCCTTTTCCTTCTCGGCTTGAGTGATCTTCTTGCGCACATAGGCGCTTCGGCCGGACATGTTGACGGGTGATTCTGCCGGTAAAGAGGCCTTGCTCACGAAGAGCCGCTCACGCGCTGTGGATGGGCCAGTCCCGGTCTGAACGAGTTACAGGTTATCCCAGGAGTTTGGTGTGGAAAGGATGCTGTAGCGACTGCAGCTGTCGCGAACGTCGATATTCAAGACGTGAGAAGAGCTGCACAAAGGATCTCCGTAGAGGAAGAGGAAGTGATGAAATTGAGAGAGACAGAGAGGGAGAGAGACGACAGACAGACAGACAGACAGACAGAGGTGAGTGAATGGCAGCCCACCCCCAGAGTGAGTCGAGATAAGATAAGACGACTCAAAAGTCCCCTAAAAGACCTAACCTGGCAAGTG